GAGTTGTGGACCAAAATCATATCTATTTGCTTCTGTTTAATCTCCTGACAGAATGTCTTAGTTTATCTAAACTGGCTTAATTAGGGCTAAGCACCCTATTCTCCCTTTCAGTGTCAGCGGAGATGCTGTGTTTTGCCTTTGTGCCGGAAGTTATTTTTGTGATGCTGCAGGACAGATATTTCCCCCTGGGATTCCTTAAAGTTTTGTCTCATTTTTATCTGATTTAATTTAGATGGGTGTGATTATTTCTATATTTCTTTGTATCGATACTCTAGAGGTATGTGTATTGCATTTATAATGATTTAACTCTCCCTGAGTTTTGGTTACATATTTATATTTTACAGTTGCTTTCTCTTTCATTTTGGTCACAGTTACACACGGCTTTGTGTGGTCCCTTTGGCTCCTCTCTTACTCCCAGCTGAATCTCTCCTCTCCTCCTCCTCCTCCTCAGACTTGAAGTGAAACTGAAGAAGGAGAGTTGGGGCCCTTGGAGTGGAGGCGGCTCTCGCCAGGTGCAGTTCATAGTGGGGCAGGGCGAGGTGGCCATGCTCCGGCCCTCAAACAAGATGCTGCAGGTCAGCATCGGACCCGGCCTGCCCAGGAACACACGTAGGTACCATGTCTGAGCACCCCGAGGCCCCGCCTCTTTCCTATCCCCCACATGAGGCCACGCCTCTTTCCCCATCCCCAACCCCAAGGCCCCACCCCTTTTATTGTCCCCCACCCCTGGGGCTCCGCCTCTTTTCTTTCCCCCCTCCCTCTTTGTCTCCCTGACATACAATTCGATTTAAATACTACTCAGGGGTGAGCAATACATGCTCATGCTCAGTGATGAAAAACTCTGCTCACATTTATCATCCTCCAGGCCCCTCAAGAAAGAATTTTGCTCCCTCCAAAATCCCCCAGCGCTACCCATCACGGGCTGCCCCAGGACCTCCAGGTAGGGCACTCCAAGAAAGCCTTATGGGGTCTCTCCTACCCCACCCCTTGTTTCCTTACACTTTTATTATGTTTTGCTAATTTTGTTCCATTTAAATGACGTGTTTGAAGAGAAAGGTCTGGATGTTCTTTTAATGAGTTTGGATCCCGTTGAATGGCACCTTTTCAGTTTCTCATCAAAACGGGGGTCTGAAGACCACCAATCATGCAGCCGGGCAGAGGAATGCCGCATACGCGCAGAACTCCACGCAGAGGCCACAGGCCAACAGCACCAGCCGGCCCTTTCTGCCGGCGGCCGTGAGCAACATGCAGGCGAAGGAGAGGGGCAGCCGGGTCCAACCCAACCTGGAGTGCCTGAGAGTCCCGGACCAGGGAGCAGCTGGGTAAGCGCTGCTGCCACAGGCCATAGGCCTCATGGGTAATGTGATTGTGGACAAGAACATCCATCCATTCACAGTCACGTCTTTATCGGCAATTCACATTGAGTCATACTCCAATGAATTTCATTGGCCCAACCCAACAAATCACTAATGAGAAAAAAATATGTTTCTAGAAGTTTCCTTTTAAAAGAAGCTTTTAACAATGTAACACGCCATAAAGAGGCCTCACTCATACCGGCCGTCATACAGACCGATGTTTCTCAACCCGGACCTCAGGGACCCCACCAGACGGTTCACATTTTTGCTCCCTCCCACCTCCCGGTATCAAAAATGTGGACTGTCTGAGGACCAGGATGAGAAACTCTGGCATAGATGGTTAGAGACCCGGTTAGCAGGACCTAAGCTGGCCTTCGCTGACTGGAATGATGTGTTCCTTTATAGTAACGGAGGACTGCAACCAACTGCGAATGGAAGAACGTGAGTCACTGAGTGTGTCTGGGTGGCGGGCCATAGTGCGCCTCAGTAGAGCGCACTGTCACTGTCTGTCACTCCCTCTCCTGCAGAGGTCACCTGTCTCCTTCCTCCTGTGACTCTGTCACTCTGCGGGGGATGTCACTTTGTGCTTAAGTGTTTATTTTGTTATTGCTTGTTTGTTCCTGAAATAAGGGTCCCTGGGTGTTTCACAGCCAGTAGCATTTAGGCCGAGTTTTGCTTTGTCTATGATGTTGGGTCTGGAAAGAATTGTCCCAAAAAACAGAACTTAACTTTTGAGCAATAATAAAATTCTTTATTATTTATTTATTCAGCAGAACACTGGGTTATTAGAATATGGGGCGCTCTGCATTTCCACAAACAAGCAAAAGCTCGATACAGCATTGCAAAGTCATAGTATGTGGTGCAATTATGGGATATTTTACAATATCCCATAATATTTACAATAATTTAAACGTAAAAGTCCATTTTTTTTGTAGGGACAAATAATTTAAATTAAACATTTCGGGGGGGGGGGGGGGGGTCCCTATATCCCCCCCAAGTTCCTATGCCCTTTGGTAATGACAATGTGGTTAATTTGGCTGTTCCGCCATTGTAATGCTGTAAACAAGCTGGCAAACTGAAGCTGTATCTGCGTACCTTATCACTCCTTTTATAACGCAGAACCTTAAAGCCGCCACATCGTGCCTGACTTTTTTTTTTGCGTGGTGCACTCCCATCTAGTGGTCACTCAAAAAAATACCTTTGAAACATGACGTTGTCTCATGCGAAATGTTGTCGTACTGTTGATGCCACGTGTCGCAGCCTCAGGTGTACATAATGCATGTCATCCACCTAACAGCAAGTGAAGCATCACAGGACTGCTGCTTGGATTACTGAAAGGAGACTTCTAGGTTAAGATTCCTGTTACATTGCCTCGTTTCTCCTCCAGTGCTCACAGGCACAGCGTCAACAGGCCTGCCCCAGGTGGGGGCCGGCCCAAGCCCACCCCTAAGCCCAAACCACAGGTCCCCCAGTGCAGGGCTCTGTACGCCTACGATGCCCAAGACACAGACGAGCTCAGCTTCAATGCTGATGACATCATCGACATTATCAAGGAAGGTAAGAGAGTCACGCCTCCGGGGGCCTGCAGGATACATGCCAGCCCTCCTGCTGCGCTTAGTGCTGGAGGTGGAGACGTCAACCTCAGTCTGTCTCTTTTCCCCCAGACGCCTCTGGTTGGTGGACAGGGAGATTGCGAGGCAAACAGGGCCTGTTCCCCAACAACTATGTCAACAAGATCTAGGCTGGCTGTCCACCAGGAGACTCGAATGGCGGATACAGGGAAAACTAGCCGTTGGAAGGGGGTGAGGTGTGGGGGGCAACTGTTCCTCTACTGCTGCATGGCCCTGGAGTCCCAGACCTGGGTCCTACTGCTCCATGTATCCAGGTGTAGTGCGTGGGTAGCAGAGTTGTTCTCACACAAGGACCTGAAGAAATCGTCTCAGAGCTGATGTAGGCTATACAATTCCTGTGAGCACTGAACAAAACTATTTATTCTATTTAAAGCTCTTGTCTTTTGTAATTATTTCCACTTAGATATATCGAAGATGAGCTGTTTTATTTGAAGAGGTGCAGCATGTATGATATGTGCAACCAGGAGAAATTCTATGCTTTTGTTTTATATCTTTGTATGTAAAGGGATTTTCACAGATTAAAAGGAGAGGTGGTTGGTTTAAAGTCTGTATTTCATGGTTAAAATGGTTTTCTTTTGTCAGTATGAATGCTGCTGGAATTGATTTTACAAATAGTATTTGAATGAGATTAATTTATAAATATTGCCGATACCATTCATTGAAAATATTAAGTTAGCGCTGTATTGTATGTTTGTCTCCTTGGCAGTTAAAACATTACGGCATTAACTAGCCCCCATGCCAATTTAAGCAGATTTTTTTTGTAGTTGCATTTTCACTTTTGTTTACTGCTCCATAGAGAAGATTGTTACAACTTCAGAAAACAAACCCCAGAGGTTTGAAATATTTTAAATTCCATGAATGTCAGTTACTTCTCTGCTAAAATGCAGTTAGAAGACAGACATGAAGTAACCAAATTGATGGATTAAAAGCACTTTATGACCAGGGTATAGGATCCGTCAGCCAACTCCTCCCAGGATGTAAAATTTATGAAGGGAATTTTTAAGAAACGTTTACAGAAAAACAAAATTAAAGGTTATTTAACAAAACATTACCGTGTTGTCATTAAGTAATTTTCTTCAGTTCTTACCTGCACTGCCAGTAATCAAAACCTTCACGTCATCATTCCTCTACTTTGCACACGAATTTCCATGCACATGGAATCTTCAATGAAACGTCAGCCATCACTTTGAAGTTTAAGGCATGTCCCATAGCACACCTGCCACAAGACATCACATCACCTTCCACAACATCACATTAGGACTTGGTGACCATCCTACAGGGTTTCTGCAGGTTTTCTAAGAGTAAATTTAAGACCTTAAGACCAAATAAAGAAAATTTAAGGAAAAAAAAAATATCGTAGGGAAATTCATACGAATATATTATAATCATAATAATTATGATATATTAGAATCATAAGAATATACGCATTCTTCGGCCTTCCAATCGCACTACATGTCTAAATAGCGCGCTTTAGAAGAAAGGGTTCATCTGCGCATGCTTGTCAAGTTCTTCTTCGGGTTACTGACAGATGAAGCAGCACATAACGCCATCTACCGTTCAATGAATATTGAGCGATCCAAGCCATGTAGCACAGAAATTACGCTTTCGCTTCTCTTTAAAATCAAAAGACACGAGGAAACAATCCCTCACAAAAAATAATGCCATGATCATATGAATTTAAGACTTGCTGGTCTGATTTAAGACCTTTTCAAGGCCTTAATTCACAGAAAAGTGATTAAGACTTTAAGACCCGCGGAAACCCTGATCCTATAAAGCTAGTCACTATGACCATCCTGATTAAATATACCCAGTGTGAAAGCATGTATCAATGCTACTGAAATGCTCCAAAGCTCATTTTCAATTACTACAGAACACACTGTACAGCAATGGAATTTACTCAAATTTAAGTGGAATACCCACTCTAACCAAATGATTTAGGAGCAGCTTGTTACACATTTAAGTTGCATAAAATGTTTTAACACTCCAGAATTTGTAAATAAAGACAGGGGGCTTCTGTCAATGAAGTATTGGCTTTTTAATTAGGGGGAAAATAAATCATCCAGAGCACTTAAAGCATGGCAATACCAGAGAACAAATAAAACTACTCGTCAGAAACAAGCAATCCAACATCTTTAAAAACATCTATACACATAATATTTCACAAAATGTACATAAAACCCCAGTAGTCCCCCCCACCCCACAGTTTGTTGAAATGAGCTCCTTTAAAGTGCAGCAATCAAGCCTGTAAGGTGGCCTCAGAGCAGAGGGGCAGCCAGGTCCTTGATGACTGCAGACTTCAGTTGAGGAATGACACTGATCTTCATTAGTCGACTGCCTGCATACTTGTTCTTCACAGCCTTAGGCAGGAAGAAGCCATTAGTCACCACAAAGATCCAGTCACAAAAGGAAAAGGGGCGTCACTTACGAGGTGCTTGGTAAGGCCTTCGTTGACACGGACCACATTCTTGGCCATGTGCTGCATTACCGGCTTGAGGCAGTCTTCAGTATATGTGGTGTAGTGCTGCTGTGTTGCAGACTAGACAACCCAAGAAAAACAAGTGACACCAAGCCAATCACGGCAGTGCAGGGCTTTGAGAGAAAGATCAGGGCCGATTCTTACCCATTTGTGTCCTTCGAGCACCAGCTGAGAAAGACAGAGGGCAGCGGCAGCGATTTCAGAGGGATTGTAGTGCAGCATGTCGTAATCGGTCAGGGTCAGCTCCATCAAGTACTTGGCCAGCGTGTGCTTCTCGGCGTCCGCCTTAACAGAAGCAGCCATAAAGTCAGCCTCGCCTTACCAGCTTAGGAGGCAGAACCAGTCGCTCAGAGCTCCTTTACATTGCCAGCCTTTGAGGCCCTCCGGAGGAAGTGCAGGGGAAGGGGCCGCCCCAGCTGGAAGTTGAGGTGTCTCAGGATCATCATCTCCATCTCGCGAATCTGGGCCTTTGTGAAAGCGTTGTCGGTGATGTAGACGAAGTCTCCCACCTCTGGGGCATACATCTCCTCATACTTCGAAGCAATCAACATGGCAGTCACTCCAACCAGCTGCAGCTTACGTCTGGAAACCGGCTGCACCTGAAGGACCGAGTTGGGCATTTAACACGAGACTGAAGGCATCAGAAGAGACCATTTTAAAGATCTTCAGGAAAAACAGACTTGCCTGCAGGAAGCGGTCAATGATGGCAATAGTCATGTACAATGTTTCTTGCAGAAGCTGGAACCTGGAGTGCACCTGGATCAGCCAGTCAACCAGGAGAGCACGCATGCGCTCATTAATCTCATAGCCCTGCATGTATTTCGGACGGATGGACTGCTGGGCCTAGAGAGAAAGGGAAACCACTCAGAGGGCAGCTCCGAGTATGCTACCGGACTTCACACACTAAATACGCCAGTTAAAGGCATCTTCGGAAGTAGGATTAGGGCAGCGTTTCCCCTAACAGGAGCTGAAGGGAGCAAAAATGTGGACTGTCTGGGGGGCCCTGAGGACTGAATTAGGATAAGGTACTTGCTTAAGAACTAGTACCTCAAGCCCCCGGAGATACACGTAGATGTCCTTCACGTATTCGGAACACAGCTGAGGCATGTCAGCGTCTCCTTCATCGATATCTTCTACAGCCAGAAGCGCATCTGAGAAGGCCTGGCACAGGTCCTCCTCCTCCTTCATGGACACATCTGCGCAAAGTGGCGCCGCCGGAGCAGGCGCACTGACCAGGGCCGGAGCGGGGACGCATCTGGGCTGTGCCTTGCCCTGCGGCTGGGAAGGGCCTTTGGTAGCTTTCAGGCCGGCAGCTTTCCAGGTGGTAGCAGTCTTCTGTTGGAGCATAAAGGGGTGACGCTAAGGAGCAGCGCTTAGCATACAGCGAGGCTCAGGGCGCGCAGTAAAGGGCATACCTTGACTAGCGACACTTTGGAAATGTTGGAAAGCTCCCCCAAGGCCGGCCTCCTTCCTCCCAACATCGCTGCCTTGCCCATCGGAGCAGCATTTTCGGCATTGGCGGCCTGTTCACGCAGAACACACTTTAACTAGTTACAGATCAGTGCTGCGGATAAACAGTCACTGATACTCATACAGCCGTTACAATAGAGCAACTTGAAGCGAAAATCCAGAAATCCGACCAAATCAAGCACGTTAACAGCCTACTTTAACCAGATAAACTTCAGCTCGGCGTCGTAACCAGCCAGTTACTTGTACGTGGCTGTCGAAATACATGCAAGCCAAGACTCTGCAATGCTCACAACTATTTCGAGCTTAAAATATTGCTTTATACTCACCGCAGCGCGAAGAGCCAAAGACATTCTTTTAAAAAAATGTTCTGTAAAAGAACAATATTAAAATCGTCAAACGTGGTTTTAGAAAAGTTAGAAAACGCCTACCAGCACAACCCAAGATATTTAATTTGAAACAACAAGCAAAGCATAACACCACCGCTACCATTCAAATACCGCTCCGCGACTCCTCATTGGCTGCCTCAGCGTACGACGCTCTCCTTCGATTGGCTGCTGAAAAACGGTCGGAGGTCGCGGTTTCCTATTAACAGAATAACACTTTTTTTTTTTGGTAGTTCGTGTTATCGTAAATTATACGACACCAGTGCATCCAGAGATTTCAGATGAAGCATAATTTAAAAACCTATACCAAAATGTTACGACGAGGAATGACATCGTTTCTCGCGATACACGAGGAGGAAGAGATGCACAGGCGTCAGAGGACAAAGCATGTCGGGAAATGTTGTTCATAACGCAGATATGGCTTCCCGTTTAAAGGACCAAGATTCCGAAATTCCTTTGCTGACACCGATATTATTCATATAGGTCCCGAAGGCACAATAAAGGCTTTCTGAGGCATTACTTAGTAGTTTCATTATGATGGATTTTCATTTGCGATTAACTATCATGACCATACCTCGTCTTTTTGGGACCTAAAACTGCCTGACATGTCCGATATTTCACTAGGTTTCATGTTCTTTCAGTACTCTGCACATTTGTGTTGCTTGGACGACTCCTTATGTAAAACATGGTCACCCTGTAGTTAACTACAGTCAGTGTTGGAATTATTACCTATGCCACATGTATTTTCTATTTCAGAGCGTCATTAGCTTTTTCTGCCGAAGCAGCGGGTCCTTTACTGCCTTGGCATATGATTATTGTCATGGCTGCTCTCTTCTAAATCGGTGATCTGCCCCGGATTAATGGGACTGTTACATACAATAACAGAAAATATTCAGGCCTCTCAGCTGCAAGGCAGTCTGGTGATGTGAATAAAATTAGTGAGAATGTATAAACTAAGGCCTTACTCAACAGTCAAAGGATTCCTTTTTGACTCATTCTGAGAACATTGTTCACTACTAATAGTTATTCTCCTCACTAAGGTCCATGTGTAAAATCATTCCACAAAGTCAGTATTTTCTAGAGCATCCTTTACCCTTTGAAATCTCCACTGAATGTTCCCTGTATGTGCCGACCAGCTTTTGACACCTCTCTGCTGGAATCTTAGCCCATTCCTAAGGTGCTAATGCTTCTTTGGTCTCCATGCCGCCGCTGCTTGCTTTAAATCCCATCAAATATGCAGCAAAACACACCCACAGCAGGACTGAGCTTCCTCCATGCTACACCATGGGTATGGCCTTCTTCTTAAAAGCATTTCCTTCCTTGTGCCAGACATACTGCTGATCAATGGGTCCAAACAGTTTGATTCTACTCTCTCCTTCTTAGATTTGCAGCGATACATTTGTTCATTAGGTCACGCCACAGGGTCTCCAGCAGAGATTTTTCTCAGCTATTCTTTTCATATGTCAGACTCTCTTAAGTGAAATGTTGCTTTTACTTCCACATCTCGACAGGTTTGCCGCTGTACCGCAAGTTATAAACTTGTGCATGATGCTTGAGATGAACAAGAACGGAGACTGTGAGCCAGGCATCAGTGCCTGACCTCACAAATGCCCTTCTGGATGAATAGATAAAAATTCCCACAGACACACTCCAAAATCTTGTGGAAAGCCTCCCCAGAAGAGCGGCAGCTGTTATACCTACAAAGGGGGAACCAGCTCCATATTGATGCCTATGGATTTAGAATGGGATGATGTCATATAACATCCTGTGGGTGTACGTCTTTCCATATAGTGCTTGTATCACAGTGGTAGCAAATTAAATCAGTACTGTTTTCATAAATATGTCATTGTTTAAACAGTTTTGTAGCCTTACAAATTAAATGATTAAAAAACAGCATAATTGAATGGGAGTTTAATAATTATGACATAGCTATATCACAAATATCTTGCTACTGAAATATTACATTATACATTTTCATTATTAATTTGAATGACAGTGAACTATACTTTTTAAAGAATCTGTCTTCAGAAATAGTTTAAATTTGTAAACCCTTAGTTTTAAAGGGGCTTGAATAATTTTGGTTGCCACTGTACTTAGCAGACGAACGTCTTACGCCTTCATTCGCATTAAATTTTTACTGAAAATGTAACTTCCATGTCCATATGATACAACTTAGGTCTAACTTTGATGCTATTTCACTGGTGAGAAGTGAAATGTAGCCACTAATACTGTGGTCTCGTGAAAGTGGTACCTATGTGTACATACTAACATCACTTCTAATACTTGATCTGGGAGACTGTACTGAATGCCGAATCACCCCCGTTTCAAATGCAGATAGAGAGTCCCTTCGCGTTGAAATCTGAGACCATCCAAGATGCGCTGTTGCTTTGGCAGACAGACAGACACAAGTAAGAGTTGCCTAACTTTATTTATTAATATTATTTTAAAACTAATATAAATCCCCCGAGATGCATCATGGGGCCATTAAATCTGAACGCATGGATACCTGCCGTAAGTAACTGTATTTTAACACTCCATTCAAAGTGAGATTTTCTTCCCCCCGAAAGTCAGCAGTCAGAGTAGAAATACATCGATTCAACACACTTATTTTCACAAGACCCCTGTCTTATTACTTTCAGCTTTTGATGTGCAAGTATATGCAAGTTAGCTAGTTGAGAATAACATTAGTGTTAAGTTCCTCAGGGCAAAAAACATTTGCTGCGGAAAAAAAAAAATCTAAGAACTGACAACTGATAACTTGCTCTAAGATGGGTTGTTATCAACTCCTCACATGGAGATGTCATTAACAGGCATTTATAAACAGGAACGGTAATGAAATGGGGGCGTGGCCATACTCAGCTTCCAGTCCATGATTCGCTTTCGCCCACAGGTTACACAATCAGGTGGAACATGATTTACCTGTCAGTTAGAAACCTATGATGTCACCCACAGTTTTGCCCGCATACAATACAGACTCTGACACAGGGCATATGCCACACACAAGATCAAAGATTAATTTAAAATACACCAAGTGACATTCAATCATTTTTCTCAAACATCAGCTGCGAATGTGTGCAACACTGTGCATAAAAACCAGTGGGGGGGGGGGGGGGGGGGGGGGGGGGGGGGGGTTGCCAAGCATGTGTATTTTCTGGGAAGCTACATATTTTGTGATTGTTCCCATTCAATGGACACTGCATGGTGGTTCAAAGACTTAATACAGCAGCTGTTTGTGTCTTCCTCCTAATTTTAAGGAATGTGTTAATTCCCCCAACCCCCAAATGATCAAACTGACCATATGCCAACAGAATCATTTAAATGAGTCTTGCGATGGATGAAGCTGACATTCTATTCCAGTAAAGCATGGCATCATGAACACAGAAATGCTTCCTTTACCAGAGTAGCACACTCAGCCGGTATTTAGGCCGTGAGCAGCCTAATTCATTACATGTGCAAAGAAATGCGTCACAAAGAACCATGCAAAAAAAAAAAAAAAGACACAGGAGGGGGAGAAAAGCTACATAAAAAGCTTTATAAATATAATCAAAATTTAAAATCCTCACTGAAGATGCTTTTAGCAGGATGGGTACTATGTGGCAGCCGGCACTGTAGTTTAAATGCTCGACATGTTATGTTTTTTCCCATTTTGAATCTGCGTAGGTAATTCATGCCATCTTTGGTTGACTGCAGCACGGAAGAAAAGGAAGAGAATTAAAATCACATAAGAGGTTTCTGAGAGCAGCATCAACTCTCCGCAGACAGCTGGGCCTCGATATCCACTCTGCAGATGGGGCATTTCTTGTTGGTGAGCAGCCACTGGTCCACGCAGAGCTGATGAAACAGGTGCATGCAGGGAAGGCGTCTGGGAAGAGGGGGAATTACCATTAGGGAGCAGCCATTTAAATACAAACATTTCTGGGCTAAGAATGAATGGACAAGGATCACCCCGAGCCAATGGCTTGTTAGCTTGTTTAAAGCATAACACCTTTTTCGTTGAAGTATAAATTCAGCATAATGAAACATAAGCATGAATCTTTCTAAAAAAGGCCACTGTTACATTCTCCACATAGTTTCAGAGATATACATGTATTTATTAACTATAATGTGATGTACAATTGAGAAAGCAGGGTGAGTCTGTCCCTGGAGCAGTTGGGATTAAGGGCCTTGCTCAAGGGCCCAAAGGGGGCAAATCAAAGGATACGAACCTACAACCATTTGATTACATGCACAACATAACTAACACCCCTATCCACACACCAACCCAGGTGGTAAAATAGAAACTCTCATGCCTACAAATAACACATGAACACCTTCTTTTTACCTTAATTGAACAAATCTGACAAGTATATATGCATGTCATGTTACCAGATTCAGCTGGCAACAAAAATCTGTAGTTTCACAGTTGCACCACCAGGGGGCTGAACAAATAATCCATGCCATCACATAAACGTCTCTAATTTGGGCACTCAGACAAAATGACAGCCTAAACGTTAATATTGATTTAAATTGAAAATTCAGACAAATAATGACTCAAAACTAACCAGTTTTAACATTTTCAACATGGTCTTTTGCACATTATGCCAAGACTGAGGTGGTTATCTGTTAAAGTAAAAATCTGATAGAAACTGATGATTTCATCCATTATCTCAGCTCAAGTCCCCTGTTCCCAATATATTTTTTATATAACACATTACAGAGATAGTCTGCAAACCAGAAGACCTACTGAGTGACTGTCAATGTGACACATGGCTGTCACAACGAGCAGAGCGTACCTGACATCCTCTCCCTCCTCCAGTATAGACAGGCAGATGGTGCACTTCTCCTCGGTGTCTTCCTCCGCTCCCTCATCTTCCTCCTGCTTCCCGTGCAGCTTCCTCTGTCGGTGTAGAGATACGGCAGGCGTGAGAGGCCTCATGGGGACACCGAAATGCCACAGTAAACCCGAAAGCGCCACCGGCGGCATGGGAGACGGAGACTGGGACCAGTGTACCCTCTAGTGCTTAACCGTCTACCAGAGACTCTCTCCGGCACCTTCCACATCAGGTGGTACAGTGTTAGGCTGCAGTTACTCCTGCTTACCACTAAAGTAAAGCAGCCTGCTGGGTCTGGCAGATGCCCGCTGCCTTCAAGGAACTGTTTACACTGACACTACATCAGCAGGTGTTTTGTCACTTGGCCAACAACTTAAGTGTAAAAATCATGCTGTTTTTCCTTTAAACCAACTCTGAAAAGCTCTTGGAAGATACATCCCAAAGACAGAAGGTGCACATGTTCTGACTCAGACTCTGGATTAGCCTCTTCGGCACACACAATATCACATTCCCCACAATGCCCTGGGTCATGCCGTCCCACCTTCTTGTACTTGTGTGGGTAAGTGCATCTCTCTATGGTTCCCTGAGAGGCGCCGCGGTTCACAGTGCCCAGCCTCTCTTCTAGGTGCAGCAGATCCTGGCAGAAAGGGGTGAAACTCTCACGTCAACTCGGAGTTAAATATAAATAAAGGAAAAAGAAGGAGATGCCGAGCGGCGTCTTACTTCATAGGTCCGCCGGAATCCCGTCATCCTGGATGAGATATAGCGGATGTGTGGGTACGTCACTTCGGGAACGCCTGTGTGCTGTTTGAGAGAGAAAGAGTGGCGGTGGTCATTCAACCCTCCATTCTGAGCGAGATCATTCACTCACTGCCTGGTAACTGGCAAACTCCCATAGTACCAAGGAACCGACTGAAAGGATAAACAGCACGTGCCCAACAAGACAGTTAACAGAAAAATCCAGAGAGGGAACGAATGAAGCTTGGAGTAAACAATCAAAGTCAATCAATGAAATAACCAATGATGGAAAACTAGTTAGAGCTTGGTGTGGTAAAGTAGCCCCTGGGACTGTGGGCTGCAAAGCCGTACCTCACCTATGACTATACGAGTGTAGGGTTCCTCCTGAAGGAGAGCAAGGAGGGTGTGGCTTACGGCTGGGGACTCACCACAAACGGGATGGGGAAGTGGTGCAGCCTGGGCGGCGGGTGGTAGTGAGGGAGGTGGAGGTGCCCCGAGGGGTATGGGGCTAAGGTCACTCCTGCCTCGATCCCCAGCTCCCTGCAGGCCAGACGAGACGGGCATCATCATAACAGCACGGGCTAGCAGGTTAACACAGTATTTCCCAATCCGGTCCTCGGGGACCCACAGACAGTCCACGTTTTTGCCCCATCCCAGCTCCCCACCGAGCAAACGCTGAACAAAAATGTGCATTGTCTGTCAGGGAGCTCGGAGGGAACAAAAACGTGGACTGAGGGTGGGTCGCTGAGGATCGGATTTGGAAACAATGGGTTAAGAAAGCTGGCAGAAAACAGCAGTCAGTTAAACACGCAAAGCAGGTGACTGACCAGGTGGTCCGCTGGTCTGGCTGGCGTGGGTGTGAGGACATGGTCTGTGGCACGTGGATGTGGTGACCGTGTCCGTAGTTGGGGTGCATCCTGTGGGGGTGAGGCGGTGGCCTTTCATGGGCCCGTCTGGGGGGGGGGGGGGGGGGGGGGGGGGGGAAGGGACAGATCCAGCATTAATCCCCCGGAGTGAGATACTCAGACGAAAAGACAACGGAGACTGGGGAAGCATTGAAGCAGCGTTTGATGGCACTCACGTGGGGTGCTGCATCATCCGACGCCTCTGCACCTCCATCCTCTGCAGCAGGTCGTGCTGGTGCAGCCTCTGGACCGAGGGGCCCAGTGGCGGGACGTGGTGGTGGAGAGCCTGGTGCTCGGGGGGCAGGTGCTGGGGGAGTGGGGCCGCGGAGCCCGACAGGCCGTGGCCGGAGAGAGAGGGTGGCGGCACGGCCGTGGGGGGCACGGTGTGGCCGGGGGCGGGGCCGTGAGATGGCAGGGGCGTGTGGAAGGGGTGCACCGAGTGGGGAATTATGTAGTCAGCTTGGGGAGGTGGCTGCGGAGCAGACTGCGGGTTCCCGTGGGAGTGAGGGCAGGAGGATGGAGGCTGGTGGTGAAGGGAGCGGCTGAGGGGTCCGTCTGAGAGAGAGAGAGTGAGAGAGAGAGAGAGAGAGAAAGGACAGGGGGGAGAGAAACAGTGAGCAGCAGAGGAGGTAGGTACTAGAGACAAATGAAAGAGCAGGAACACTTAGATATTGGAAAAAACAATTTGCAGGCCTGCAGGCCCTCCCCAGCCCTGCACCCCCGACAGGCACTTCTCCTCTATGCCAAAGTTTCTCAGTCCGGTCTTCGGGGACCCCCAGACAGTTCATGTTTCTGCTCCCTCCCAGCTACCTGGGTAGGAGTGAAAACATGAAACGTCTGGAGGTCCCCAAGGACCGGGTTAAGACAGACTGCTCAGGCAGTGACTGAGCAGCTAGTCCGTCCTCCACGTGCTGCCCGTTTAAGTGGGGAAGAACAAGGCCTCTTCCTGACCGCCAGAGGCCCATTTTTACACATCAGTATTTCTGTCTGCAGGAAGCCAGCAGCTCAGCTTCTTGCACACGCATGAGCTACGTGTCTCAATTGCATAAAGTTTACATCATTTCAGTTCAAACAAAACGAAACCCTGATGAGTGGAATGGACTGGAGTTCCTCTCCAGAAATTAGTTTTGAAGCAGCCGAACTCACTCAAATGTGACGATGAGGCTGCTGGTTCGTAGTGATCCAGGAATTAGTACCACAAGTCCAGCTGTTATTGGAACTGATGGACCTCAAAAGCAGCAGGAGCTCTGAGCTGAGGTCAGAACGGAGACGGCAGAAGGCAGACAGAAGCTCATTCTGGCCTTTTAGTACACAGCTTAGCTGATGTTAGCCGACTGGCTAACGTACCCAAAACTTACCCAAAGTATCAGCCTGCAGCACACAAACATACCATACAGTCCCACTCCTGAGCAATACAGGTTTTAACCTCTGACCTCCTGCTTTATCAGAAGTTACACCAGAATCATTACATTACATGGACAAAAGTATTGGGACACCTGGCGATTACACCCAGAAGAACTTATATGACGTCCCATTATAAATCCATAGGCATCAATATGGAGCTGGTGCCCTCTTTGCAGCTATAACAGCTGCCGCTCTTCTGGGATGTCTGTGGGAATTTCTGCCCATTCATCCAGAAGGGCATTTGTGAGGTCAGGCAAGGATGTTGGACATGAAGGCCTGGCTCACAATCTCCGTTCTAGCTCATCCCAAAGGTGCTTGAGGTCAGGGCCAGTCAAAATATCATGGTATGCGGAAGCATTAAGAGTTCCCTTCCACTGAAGAACAACCCCGTACCATGATCCTCCTCCAAACTTTACAGTTGGCACAACACAGTCAGGCAGGTAACGTTCTCCTGGCATCCGCCAAACCCAGACTCGTCCATCAGACTGCCAGACAGAGAAGCGTGATTCGTCACTCCACAGAACACGTTTCCACTGCTCCAGAGTGCAGTGGCGGTGTGCTTTACACCACTGCATCTGACGCTTAGCTTTGCGCTTAGTGAAGTGAGGCTTGCATGCAGCTGCTCGGCCATAGAAGCCCATTCCATGAAGCTCCCGGCATTTTTGTGCTGGAGTTAATGCCAGAGGAAGTTTGGAACTCTGCAGTTATTGAGTCAGAGTGCTGGCGACTTTTATATACTATACGCCTTAACATTTGGCGACCCTGCTGTTACTTTACATGGTCAATGTAACACCTGAACTCAGTGATTAAGAGATGTGTCCCAACACTTCAGTCCATGTAGTTTACCTGTGAACTGTGGTGGACGTTTCCATAGAAAGGCTTTAATGGAAAATGGACTGCAAGTCACTATTGGTTAAATGTTCATGCCGTGTTCCAGCCCCACCCACACGGGAATTTGACGGCTGCATACTCACAGGTAGGGTGCATATAGTGCCTGCAGGAGGACAGCTGGGGAGGGGCGGGGGGTGGGGCTGGCATGGCTGACCCGAAGCAGTCAGCGGCGCCCGGCTGGCTGGGCCCTGGAGCGGGCTGAGAGGCGTAGAGGGGGGGCCGGGCCGACGAGCCGGGGCAGCAGGGATCAAAGGCAGAGGCAGTGTGGAAGCCGGTGGCAGAGGTCACACCGCTAGTCCTCATGGAGCTGCCGCTGCTGAGGTCCACTGGCAGGGTCTGCGGGGGTGGGGGGCAGAGGGGTTAGAGGCCCACGGTCACGTGCAGTGGGGAATCCTGGCCGACGGCACCGCACCTACACTAGCCATGGCAGATCCTACTCAATGTCACCCCCATATGCCAGCTACATGTAATCCTGCCCGACGGCGCATCCTATGCCAGCAACCCCAATTGCCACCCAAGCTGACTTGTAAAGTTCAGAAGATGCACCCCCAGTCACTTGGGAGTGGAGAATGATGCCCCCCCCCACCCCTAATGGCCTTCATTTGGAATTTAACAACCCAGCCTCACATGTATAAATCAACCGAGCAGTTTCCATAATTAGGACGGGGGGAATATTCTCCAGCGGCATTGTTCTGCTGTGAAAGCACCTTCCAGAAAAATCCACCATAGTGATTTGCATCAAATATTCATTATTTGTCATCTCGGCTGTACTGGGTCTGTTTAACCACTAACACAGCAGTGCTGGTTTGAGTCGTTCTGGCATGGACCGACCGGCTGCACACTAACAGCGCTACACGGCTCACGACGGAGGATTTCCTTTGTCTTCTCTATTGTTTCGGTTTCTTACCATCTGTTGCAATAAAACACCTGCATCACACAGTTTCAGACCAGGAAACAGAAAAAGGCAATAAAAGCTAATTATAACCAACAAGCCACATGATAAATAAGCATAAATTAGAGAAAATGCTGCTGAAAGACAAGACTGAAGCCATTTCATTATAAATTTACTTGCTTTTGTTTATCCAAAACACGATTTTCCTAGTTTGATAGCTGGCTATTTTTCTGGAGTAACACTGCTGAGATGCCTTGGCGGGGGCCACAGGCCAGGCAGGTACCAGTGACTAAAGAGAAGGCCGGGCTGCACTGTTTGGCTGCAATACAGGAAATGTGGCAGAGAACAGAAACCAAGGTCAGGACTAGTTTTTAATAACATGACGGGCTAAATTTTGGCTTCAAGTGTCACCCTCTGGAGGGTCATGCCATGCTTTTAGGGACAGCCCCCTCCCCGCCAGGCTGTGAATGTCCACCAGGGTTGGGGTTCAATGATAAGGGATGGATGGATCATTACCCAATCATCGGCAGCCCCCCCCCACTATAATATGCGGCCTGATGTCTATGGGTATCATCCTAGGTTCCCTTCCAATGCTCACCTGATCATGGTACTGGCCACTGGTGCTGGAGACCCCAATGCAGGGTGGGGGCCCTGCAGACGACCTCTCCAGGGGGCAGCCGGGCTCGGGGAAGGGGAGCTGTGGTGCCGAGGGAGGGGCAGGCGCTCCGTGGTGATGGTGGTGGTGGTGGTGAAAGTGCTGGCCGTGGCCATGCTGGGGCGCCAGCTGTTGGGTGGGCGGGGCCTGCATGCAGCTGGAGTGGGCATGGCTGAGAGGGAGGTGCCCGGTGGAGGGGCCGGCGCAGGGGGAGTGCTGGGGGCAGCAGGAAGGAAGGCGGGGCATCGCCACACCATCGCCCATCAGCCCTGAGGAGCCACGCCTGGCAGCATCTTTAAGGGGCAACAAACATGGTTGGGGAGGGGAGGGGGGGGGGGTCAGCACTGGGGAAACATTCCTCTTACGCCCCCTCCCTTCATTAGCCAGTAAGGGGCAGGTACACTGAGGATGTGAGGGTGCCGTAGTCCTACCCCCAGCGGCGCTGCCCTCTGTGCTGTCCGGAGCAGGGCCAGGCCTGGTGGAAGGCCCTGGGGCTTCCCGGGGGGGCTCTGAGGTAGACGCGTGGCTAGAGGATGAGGAGGAGGAGGAGGAAGAGGACGAGCCAACAAGCTGGGCGTGGCCACTGCTGGGGGTAGTTGGCACTACAGAGAGGTCTGAGGGGACAGAAGAAGGCGAAGAGGTTGGAGCCACAAGCCGCACCCACTGAAATTAATTGCAATTAATCAGTGAATGTCACCAAGACTTACAACGTACCTGCACATTCAACAGATGCTGTTTAGACTTGCAGTCATTTTATTTAGATTACAAAAAGAGACAGAAATTTGCTTCTGAAAACACTTAAGGTTGAAAAGAATGCTCATTAAAGGAAATACATATTATAAAAAAAATGTAATCCTGGAAACGTTAAATATGAAAGCTTGACATTTCAGAAAGCACTTAGCTTCCAATTACAACGGTACGAGTTCATTTTCCTTTTACACCATGACAGTAAATTCATTCTTTTCTTCACATTATAAAACCAATTTCCATTTACAGAACTGCTAATTTGGCACATCGAATCACCCATCCGGACCAGCCCCCCCCCCCCCATTCTCCCAGCAGAAGTGCCTGCTTGGCCTTTTGTAGGACCCCCCACACACACACACACACACACACACACACACACTGCCCTGTCCGGTACGGCCCCCTGGCCCGGTTGGGGTAGACCCCACCCTCGGCCTCACCGTCCTCGTCCACTGTGAGGTCCACCACCTCGCCGGCGCTCTGGCGGAGAGGCTGGATGACGGTGGAGACGCGGTGGCGTCCGCGCTGCTCCTGGGGACGCATCTGGGAGCAGCTGGGCCCCCAGGTCATCCTGCTGCTGCCCCCCCCGGAGCGAGGCCTGTCGACACACAGCACACACGGAGACACCGATCAGAAACAGACCCGCCCACACTAAAGCGATCGGAGCTTCTCCACAGGCCCCCACCCGGACACTCGGACAACAGCGATTCAGCCAGTAGCAGCCTGGGATTCCCAAGACGGGATCCAAAGCGTCATTGTAAGGGGGACGCATCTGGGAAGCAGCACAGACAGATGTAGCCGGAGGGCAGGGCAGTGAGTGAGGCAGCATGAGAACATCAAACCCAAAAAGCAACGAAAATGTTCAGACTGGACACAGCTACAAAACAATAGTTATAAGCTGTGATAATAAAAAGACCATAAAAGATTGACAAAGATGAGTTTTTTTTTTCGGGGTTTAAGTTCCAGTAATACTATACTTAATACTGAAGTCACAGGCTCAGTTTAGCCTCAAACACACACACTTAAGGACACACACAACCATCATATTACCTCATTTGGCATTATGGAGATGTACTGCACAGGCCCCCCATGAAGCAGGGCTTAGCTTTCAAACAGTCCCACAGACACATGCCTGAAAGGTCTGATGAGGCATCCAAGAGCACAAAGGAAAGGACTTAATCTTGTATCCAGAGAAAAGGATGCGAAGCAGAAGATTATGAAGGACAGCAGCAGGTCTTTTCACACAGATGACTCTGCGTGTTAAAGCGGCCCCTATGGGCGGGGGGTGGGTGGGTAGGCAGAATATGGTATAATTAAAAGATCATTAACGGCTTGGCAGGCTGCATGGAGAGGGGGCCGGCGTGCGCACACACACACACACACGATACCCCCATTAATGTCCCACAGATAGGGGGAGGGGCAAGACACACTTCACACCCGGCGGGAAATGTTGCCAATTATTTCAAAGGATTCACTCACCGTAAACATTTACTACACATAAAGGTCAGAAAAACAGAAATCTCCCTCTAAGTCATCAGTATTTCTTAACATAAAAATGACAGGAAAACATAGTTGGGAGCCGCTGGAATGTAAACATGAGCAGCGGCCACAACAGTCATGCAGCCGCGAGCCCCTCCCACCCGCACACAGTGGCAGCACCTATCTCCCCTGGGTCCTAAGCTCCCTGGCACACGCTGGCTGGTATCTTCCCATTGGCCACTGCCCTCTCATGGCTACAGAAATATCGGTCTGTTTAACAACGCTTGGTCCCCATGTCATGGCATATTCCCAGCCATCACCCCACCCCTTGGGTGGTCACAGTATCCATGCTGTTCCCACAGAGTCGTATCCCAGCTGGGGGCCGTGAGACACTAACACTCTCCCAGTGCTGCGGCCTACTCCCTTAACCACAGATTGCATCATTAACACACCATAACAAAACGATTAAGAGCGGGTGTGGTTGGTAGCGGGGGCAGAACGGGTGGGGGAGGCAGGTGAGGTGAATCTCACGGGGTCGTTCAGTGGAATTGGGCGGGGGGGGGGTCATTTTCAAAGTCTCGTTTGGATTTCGACACAAGGATTCTGGCAGATGGAGGCAGGCAGCAGCCTGACCTGCATTGGGGGGGGGGGTCTTTCAGATAAACCACCTGAGTGCATGTAAAGCCCCCCTCCCCCCTTCATCGCTGAAATAGCAGCCCTCACTGCATCCCTGCTTTCTGCCACCAGCAGACAGTGAGTGTGCTGGCCCAGTGCCGAGCTTCTTCCCTGGGCTGAGCACTGCAAAACCAGCACACATGGGCACACACACAAGCCAGTGATCCACAGCCAATCAGGAAGCTCCTCAAGTGCCAGGCTCCACCCACAGGTTAGAAAAGGGATGGGGCTGTGGGTCTCCAACCCTCTGTTTGTCGGGGTTACCAGTCAGTCACCACATAGTCCCATTCAGCTTCCCTATTGGTGGATAGGTTTGGCACAGAGGACTGAGATATGGCCAATAGAAAGACAGGGGGCTCAGCTGGCAGGACAGGTATGTGAAGGTGTCAGGAGCTGGTGAAAGTCTCTCTGCCACAGTGATGCTGTTGTGGTTGCGAGGAACGAGAAGCCCGACTCCTGTCTCCAGGGCTAAGAGGTCCGGGCCATGGCCGCCACAGTGATGCTGCAGGACGGCTTAATTGGCCCACAGCAGCCTCCCAGAGCAGCGCCAGTGTGGGGGTACCAACGCTGGGGAGAACCCTAATTGCCCAGAAGCAAGCTTGGGATTATTTTGAATTAACTGAGCGTGTGGTGGAGGGGGGGGGGGTTGCAAGCGAGGAACATGATAAACACGTCTCCCCAACTGCGGCAGGCAGCTGGGAATGTTTGGCAAAGACAAGATTTTCCAGCTATACGGAGTCCATGTGAAAGGCATGGGGGAGGGGGGCACGTGTGTGTGGGGGCAGGGGGCCTTGGTAGGGCTTATGTTTATGGAGTCTCACCATACGAGAGTGGTACACAAAAGGGACCCAGGGACACTGCACTGTGGCAACCACAAGCAAAAAGGGGGGGGGGAATAGAGTCGGGTACAGGCATAGCCTGGCCAGCAGGGGGCGGCGACATAAATTGTGCAATTTAATTAATTACCTGAAGTAGCTCACATCCAGCCTGTATAATGAAATATGCATAATGCATGAGGTCGCAACCGCCTGCCAATGTGTGCCAGCAGACTAGCGGATAGATCTTCAGTGGCAGGATGAAGAAAAGGCTCGAGGAGTCAAAATATCTAAGATCAAAAGCATACTTTGCTCTGAAATCAAAAGGGGTGAGGGGCCAGGGAGCAGCGGTGAATCCCTGGCAGGCGAACCTGGTGCACCGGCCCACTCCCGCGATGACACCGGGGGGCGGCTGCTTACAGCAGAAGTTAGGCCCGGTGCAATAGCAGCTGGCGCTGGGGGGGACACGCCAGGGCCTGGGGAGACACGCGCGCTCACATGTGCAGAGCACGGCTGCCCCCGCCTGCTCCTCTCAATCACACAAAGGCTCCTTCAACTGTAATTTGTCAGTGCTCGTCCCGTTGACTTCCTGACCCCCCCTCCCCACCCCCCGAGGGGTCAGAGTCATCTGGGCTGCGTTCTAAAGCACACACTGGAGATTCATGGCCCAACGCGCTGAAGCAAGAACAGGCAATGGGGGCCACTGCATAGCCACAAGGCTGTCACACGGGACACCGTGGACGGAAAGGACTGACTGCAGCAGCATACCCCGGCCACTAGGGGGACTTCCCCAGCACATGTATTCCAAATGCCCAGCTGCTCTTGGAAATAGGCAATCACTTCTACATCAGAGTAAGAAATCTGAGTGCTGCCATTAGACCACCGTATCATTGTGAGCATGGGCACCAGCCTCTTTCCTGACAGACTAGGCATCTGTTGGAGTTCTTTAGAACCTGCTCGCCAGCTTGATCCCCAATTAGCGCTTATCTGTTCGTACAACTTATAGAAGTGAATTCCCTCCAAAATACAGAAAAACTGGGTTTGCCCCCAATACAAAGAAAGCCCACTACACTTATAAAAAGTGTGAAATATCAGAATGTTTCAGTTTAATTAACTGTGGGAGGATGCAGGAGTCAACAACGATTAGCACAGCCCGAGGTCTAAATCAGGGCAGCATGTTCTGCTACATTCAGAAACACAGTGGCACTGTGTGTGTGGGGGGGGGGGCAAACAAACAATCACTGCTTTCTCTCCAACTCGGTGTTGGGAAAAAAAATATACAAGTTTTAGAACCTCAAGGCTCATCTTCAGGTGTAAACGAGGCGGTTGCAGCCTCACCAATAGATTTCATACTATTTTTAACTCGAGATATTTTGTGAGCTAAACAGCAAGAGATAAAATAAGCCTAACTGCCTAAACTTCCAAAAATATCCAGAAGTTGTTATTTAGCACTTGTGGGTAGAAAAACGTCATCTAATTGATGGATATTTAAAAGATCGCAGTTAGGTTTGCAAAAAACATCTTATCGTTTGAGGGTAAAGCCAGTATCTGCCACTAACCTACATTCAAGGTTGCACAATAATTACAGTCCCTATAAATACATACGCTGTGGGACAAAAGCATAGCTCTGGAAAATGGTGAAACACCCTCTTAAATAAACAGTTACTGGAATACAATGGGTGAAAATACAGGCTGAGTGATGAGGGTCAAGCGTTAAGAGGTTTGGGCTGGAAGAATCAAACCAGAACCTTCAGTGAACATCAGACAGGGAGCCAGGTGCCAATAGAACCTCAGTGAATAAGGGGCTGTAATCTATCTGAACGACACTGTCAAACTTGCGCATGGGACAGCGGACGCTGACCGCAGGTCTCCAGGCGAAGCTGACAGGCGGGAGGGGGCTACACAAGGCCCCCGGACGGCACACAGCTCCGCGCTCGCTTCTCCATCTGTCAGGCCATGGTGAACCATGGCAAGCAGTGCTGGGGAGGGAGGCCCTCATGGCCGGCCTGCAGGGGACCTCAGTGGGATGAATTGGGGCCCCCAGTACGCCACCTGCTCTGAGGCTACATTCAGTACCTGGATAAACAGCCCGCTGGCACGCAGGGGGCCATGCATGCAACGTTGCAATGTTTTTTTTTTCTTTTCTTTTTTTAATTCCTCTCGGGTCTTTATCAAAAAGGGAACAGGAAAAACGCATGTAGTTACACTCATTTCTTCAGCACAAAGTACAGTGAAGCCATGGCTTCATGCAAGGTCATGCTACATACAATGTGCATTAAAAATGGCTGCCCACAGCCAGGCAGGCTCCAGCCTTTTAAATATACCTGCTGTTTGAGGGTCCCTGCATTCAACATATTCATGCACACGGCATATATAATGCGACATGTAATAAGTGTAATATGTGGGCCTACTGCAAGTGATAATTTACCAGAGTAGCATGAGAACTGACACCTAATTGTAAGTAGGTCACCAGCCTATAGCCAGCATCCCAGGCCAGAGGGAATCAGGCCACCTAAGCTAATACCAGTCTGCCTGGTGAACATAGGGCTACCAGACTCCCAGTTCAAGTCCAGGGAGGGTGACCAGCTGCTCCATAGCTATTAAAAAAATAAATCAGAACATGCAAAGGGAGGCCATTCGAAGATCCCAAGAGGGGCACCTTCAGAATGAGAGATCAGTGCACCTCCGCCTGGAACACAGATGAATGAGCCCATCAGCAGACAGGCCCCGGCCTGGCCCCAGAGACCGTAGCCATAGCAACGGCAGAGAGGGCTCTGGAATGCGGGGCACAGTGGCTTCCTGTCAGGCCCACGACTGAACGCTGAGAGCGGCATGGAGGGCAGCCGGGGCGTCCTGAAGCCTCGCTGGAACGCCCCTTACCGGCAAGCTTCCTCACGCAGTCATTGTACATTTAAATACACATTAAAAGGTGCCTTTATAAACTTCAGTGGACCAGATACAGATACAGTTAAAAGGACATTATCTGCCTCACTTGTATAAATTTATATGTCAATAAATGTAACGGCGCGTTGAGCTCAACACTAACCTGAACGCATCGCCGACGGTGACGATCTCCACCTCGCTGTCGGTGGACGTGACGTTGATCTCCTCGCTGGCAGGTATAGGGGGCGCTGTCGTCGCCTCGATCACCACCACATCCTCGTCCAAAGGACCTAAATTTCACATGAGCGTCAGTGTGGAGCCACAGCTGCATCAAAGCAGAGGCTGTCGGTTTATGAAGACGCTGAACTGCAATGAGGACAACAGCAATAAGCCACTGTGGCTCTACTCAGGAGTGTTCAGAGCTGCAGCAGTCGCTCACTACACACGTCTGAAGGCATTTTCTGCCTCATTTCCACAATGCGCATGCACGCAAACACACACGCATGCACGCAAACACACACGCATGCACACAAACACACACGCATGCACGCAAACACTATTCTAAAAGTTTTGGTATATTCAATGGCAAAAATCCACATTCAATTTTTTGAAGTTTTCTGTAGGCTACTATTAGTCATGAAACACTCATTTCCTCATTTATATCCTATTGGGCCTTGTTGCTTAACATAGAATATGAGACCAGACTTTATTAAATTAATTCATTAGCCGGCAAGGAAACCAGAGAAATTATGCAGGTATCAGAAGAATGCAGTGATACAGTGACTCCCAAAAACCAGTCAGGAAACTGTTTGGATTTCATCAGCAATTTTTTTTATCATTGTACCCCCCTCCCCCCCTCAATATCAGAAAATACCACCAAAATACCATATACTGCAGTATTATGTATGGACAGCATGATAAGAAAAATTAAATACTATCCAAGCCTAGTTAGATGCAGCCTAAACCAGAGGCAGCATTTTACTGCACGGAGGCCGAATGTTTATGTTTTAAGTTACATTTTGCATGCAAGTCTGTGTAAGCTGTGCAATGTCGATCGCTTGATATTGTAATTTCATGCTACGAATTACACGCCTTTGCGTTGTTGCGGCTGTTGTTTCTGTCCTGTGGACAGCCAAATCAATAAACACGAGTTGTTATATATTATGGCCTCCTGGTGATTTTCCTGACTATAGACAGTAGCACGCTAATGGTGCAGGTTTCCTCATCTCAGTCACTCGCCCACAATCAGCCTACTGTGCCATGATGGCCTGGGTTTGTAGCATGACTTTATAATGAAATATTCAGATTCCTTCAAAATGATAAATGTGTTATGTTGTTAAAATTTGAATGCCTTTTTAAAAGGAGTTTCCCAGCCCTAACACACACACACACACACACACACACACACACAGTTGATTGCGCCCACTCAGCATTACCCTGTTTATTAAATGGCACTCTCGCTCTGTTCAGGGGGGTACTGAAGCGTGTTGGCACAGTGACGGAGCCCTACGAGGGGGTCCGAGCGGTAAACGGGTCAGGCGGCCTGAGCCCTTATGGCGAGCATTGCGGATATGACCCGATAAGCCCGACCCGGCCCACAGCTGAGAGCTTCAGCCATGCTGTCGGGCAGAGAGGAGCAGAACCACGCAAATCCAGCACGTTAATATAAGCAAACAGCACGTGAAGTGGCTGGGTTTCCACCATGTGCGCAGATCGCAGGAAGAGCAGAGCGTGTGACTGCCAGCAAGCGTGGCCGTTTCAGCTTGCCGCCCCCTGCAGGCCAAGTCGTTTTGCACATCACTGTCGTGTGAGGCCATACGGCTCTGCAAGCTCCACAGGTAAACAAGCATCATCCCTACAGAAAGACGCGCCACGGGACCCCCCAGCTGAAAGCATGACACGGTGAATTTACTACCACCAGGGCTTGGGCCTACACACCTCACATCAGCCTGCGCCCACAGAAGCTCCTGGACCCACACAGTGATGTCAGCACTGAGCGGTAGCTGAAAGCTGGTTAGTCTGACTGGTCCCACACCCCGTTTTCAGACCCCAGACCAGCCACAAGCGCACAGCACTGCTAAAGCTGCAGTCAACCGGCGTGGCTACAGGCTGAGGTGGATGGGATGCTCTGGTCTAGCAAAAAAGCTTCAGAAATACCCAGATTGGTCTATAACAGGGGGTTTCAACCTTCCTCAAAGGTGCGATTACATATGCAACTAAGAGCTAAGACCTGGGGGGTTCATTGTCCATATTTTTTTTTCTCCATGGACATTTCTGCAGACCCCCTGCAATTGCTGAGGTCATGGACAGCAGGATGAAGCCGCTGGTATAAACAGACGGGTGCATTTCATTTGGTTGTGGCTTGGTCCAGATTGCAACATGTGGCTGTGTGCATGACAGTCCAAACAGACCTGTGTAAACTCACCCTTGCCCAGAGAAACAGACCCCGGCTCTGCATGGGTGATGCCAGCAGAACGCAACACCCTGGCAAGGGCAGAGATCAGTGCGCAGATGGCGCTGTCTCAGCTGCTGACTCATATCGGAGAGCCCCGGGCTGCCAGCCCCAGCGGGGACTCCCACATTTACAGTCTAACTTACGCAGTGATAAGTTATCAATTGATCGCAAAGCGGCCTGTGAGGGCGTAACGTGTGGCTCCTGCCATGGAGGAAGTGAGAGCAAGAGACCCGTTGTTAGCTGACAGACGTGGCCACTCCACCCCCCAGCAGCGGAGAGGCGGCTAGTGAACTAGTAAAGCTCCTCTCCTCAGTGCGCGTCAGCAACACCGTCACTGTTGTTAACGTCCCCATTTCAAAGACGAGCGGTGGGGCGAGGGAGAGCAAAACAGCAAGTGTGTGATGCATTCACAGGCTACAGAATATCCCCAAGCCAGACTAGCAAGCTTCTGAAAAGCAGCTTGAGCCCCAGGCGTACAGGGAGCTCACATTGAACAAGCAGGGGCAGAGGAGTCTGACACGGCTCTCGTGAGAGCCGGAACCTTCCAGAACAAGCATGGAATGCAAAGCATGTGTGTGGGTGACAGGATGGCGATCCCGCGCTTGCCTCTAACCTTCTCGCCAACTTTTTCCTCCACAAAGAAAGTACAAGCAATATGGCCCCCGGCTGCCCTAAGGGGAGCGACACCCAGCAGAACCCAGGAGCAGGAAGCAGCAATAATTTCCGAGAATTAAAGAGGGAACAGCAGGCAGACACACCTGGAACACAGTCATAAATCAAATGTATGCAGCAGGTATGGATACAAGCATGTGCTCCTAAGACAGCCGTTTACACTTCAAGGGGCCTCGCTACAGTACAGCCAGCTCTGCTCCAGCAAATCAAGAGATTTCATTAGACAGAAATATATGGAAAGGCTCCCAAAAACAAGGATGGTTTGCACCCTGAAGCCTAAAGGAACAATATTTGGAAATCCTTTGATAAAAATGAAGTGGTCAGTAGCACGTAAGCTGAATTTATCCATTATTCCACACAGACGAAAAAAGGAAGAGGCAATCTATCGCAAGCCATAATAGCATCATACTGTCAGACATTACCTGGTTTAACCCAATTGGAACTAAAGGAGAGAGTGGGGGACCCAACGGGGGCGGCATGGGGGGCAGGACTGTCAGGCGGGTACACCCAATGGGGGCGGCATGGGGGGCAGGACTGTCAGGCAGGTACACCCAACGAGGGTGGCATGGGGGGGCCGGGACTGTCTGGCGGGTACACCCAACGGGGGCGGCAAGGGGGCCGGGACTGTCAGGCGGGTACACCCAATGGGGGCGGCATGGGGGGCAGGACTGTCTGGCGGGTACACCCAACGGGGGCGGCATGGGGGCGGGACTGTCTGGCGGGTACACCCAACGGGGGAGATTTCTCTTTGCCATGTAGTTCCAACACCTATGCCAAAACTGGAGTTTCTCTATTAATGAGTGCCTAGCATATCCTACTCCAAGGAGAGCTCCGGGTGCTGCTGGAGATTCTGCTAATGAAAGAAATTCCAGGCCGATGGATGCCAGAATGGCTAAACAAATAAAAAATGACTCACCTTCATAGTGAAATTAACATATTAGAACATAACGCCGTAATGTCCAACGTTTTATGCTGATAAATCAATCCAATGATGCTGGACACCAAAAGCAAGTCTTCCAATTACATTCTATCTATTATTACAGATTTTTATTCGGGTCCGGTACAATTGAGAAAGCAGGGTCAGCCAGACAGGGCCTGCCGAACAGCTCAACAGTGAAATCTCTCTGCCAACCATGAGGATTTCAACCAGCGACCTTCCAATCACTGGCACAGCATCCTAACATTGCGCCATTGTGAAACTGATCACCAAAACCAAGGTCAGGAAGACCGTGCGAGTAGCAGCCATCTCAGCACCTCACACTGCACCCCTGGACATGGGGCACTGAAACTCCATCCTCTCTACAGTTCATGGCAGCAGCCCAAAGAACCCATTTACGTGGGAGGAGAGGCAGGTGTTGGAGACTCTCTCCCCCAGTCTCACGCGTGAGCTCACAGCTCTGACACTAACCTTTAATCGGCGTGAGCCAGCTTTGGGGAGAGGAGAGGCGGTCACTGGCGCACACGAGGGCTGTGCCGTTACCTGTTGCCATGGCGGTGCTGCTGGGCTGGCTGCTGACATCAACGTAGAGCTCGTCCTCAGCCTCGGTGGAGGTGGCGGAGGAGTCATCCCGGCTCAGCTCCTCTGTGGAGCTGCTGCTGCTGTGCAGCAGGGCGTACTTCCTGCGGGCGATCACCTCCCGCTGCCTGCGCTGCAGCAGCAGCCGCTCCTTCTGCCTTGGAGTCCGCGAGGCTGTGGCCACGCCCACTTTCGCCAATCGCTTTCGGTGGAGGGGGCGCCGGCCGCTCGGCCGGGACCTCTTTGTGGGGAACACGGCGTCCAGCCCTGGGCGTGCCCACCTGTGCAACCGGCTGCTCCGAGTCCGGCCCAGAGAGGAGCGCGGCCCACCCCCCGATGCCCCGCCCCCAGCACCTACAATGCCTCTGTGCTGCGACTCCTCCCCCCCAGCAACTGTCCCACCCCCCTCCACCATAGGCTCCACCTCCTCTTCCGAGCTGAGCGTGTCGGAATCCCCGAAGCGCAGGCTCGAGGATGGTGAGGACACACAATCGCTGAAGGAGGACTCTGCCATGTGCTCATCCTCGCTGTGGCCTTCCAGCAGCCCAGACCGGTGGCGGGAGGCGTCCGTGGGAGGTCCCTCCTTCAGGGCCCGGGCCGAGGGCCCCGCCTGCTGACCCCGGCGCTTCCTGCGCCCGATGAGGCCCCTGTCCGAGTCTCTCCGCCCTCCCGCATTGACCTCCCGCAGAGGCCGGGGCCGACTCTCTGCACACAGCGGGGAAAACTCACTGCCCACTTTGGTCACCATCTCCACACTGGCTGGAAAGCTCTTCGCGGCTTCTACGGGCTCAGGGTTAGCCAGTGCTCCCTTCAGGTGCTCATGCCGGCGCGGGCCATTGGACGGAACCTCGCTTTTCATTGCGGCACCGGTTCCCTGAAGACGTGGTACTCGGGGTGGATTCCCTGGCTCCTAAAGGCCCATCGGAGGTCCGGCAGTACACTATGGCTTAGGAGAAACAGAAACAGGAGAGCAGAAGTTACACACAGAACATTTTAAACAAGACAAACTCACACAACTGTCATAACTACACATATTTGGAGGTTCTGACTCAAAACTGACGTGACTCCCCTCACTGATAACATAGGCTCATGCTGTGGGCAGACACAACCTTCAGAACCACATGTAAATCATCTTTCCTCTCAACGCAGAAGAGCAGGACTGCTGCACGTCGAGTCTCAGGCTGCCAGATGTCCATAAGGAGAGCGCAGGCCACACTGCGACGGCCACGGGAATCGCTCCAAACTTACCGTGATAAAACACATTTATAAGGTTGACTGAGAAGGACAAACAGGCCGCCTCTGCTCCAGCACGGACAGCGAGAGAGCAGCTGGTCATCACTGACCACCACCAGCTAAAATTTCACAATAAGTATTTTAAGGTCACTGTGGCACAAAGCTGGCAAGCATTTCCTCCTGTTATACACAAGCAGCTTGACTCTGAAGCGCGTGCTGAAGTGTGTTAACATGTCCTCATAGTGCAGGAAACATGAGCAAGAGAGCAAAACAATAACCAAACCTTTATTATCATGTCATATACACGTCATATGTATGTATGTGTAATATATACACACACACACACACACACACACAAACACACACACTCACCTAAAGGATTATTAGGAACACCTGTTCAATTTCTCATTAATGCAATTAC